CCGGCACTGCCACGTTACCCTTGGGTGACAAGCAAATCTTTTTGCTTAGTGTCAGCTCCTTGGCCAGCCCTTGCAGCAGGCTCTGGGTGCAAAGGTACCTTATAACTCGCTGTCCTGAAGTCCTTCCTGGACTGGAACTGGAGGTTGTGCACCCTTTGGAGGGAGATGCACCCTTGGGTAGTCAACACAGACAGTGCTGAACACATTTTGCAGAGGTTTCTGCAAGGGGAAGCACGCACCAACAGCCCCGGTCTGAATCAACTGCGCGTGAAGTTTTGTGCTTTTAACCTTCTGCTTTATCTGGTAAATAACGGCCAACTGCTAAACTTCTCAGAGACACCCTCCCTGACATCAAAGCACTGACTTGCTGAGATCAGTCAGCAGGGGAAGTACAGGCTGGTTTCAGTTTCTGTAGCTGAACACAACAAGCCCCCTCGGTCCCCTCAACTGTCCCACCTGTGGCACAGCCTGTTCCTCCACGTGCACAGACAACCTCAAACCCAAACCTGCAGCTGCCATTAGTCACTGATCATTTCATGTCAAATCCTGTGCTGGGATGGTCATGGAGGTACAGACCAGACCCTCCTGTGGGGATTACTCACAGCAGCAGGTCCAGCATGCCTGGGCCTGGCAGCAGGACTGCACCTGCAGGCAGCAGTGGGAGGTCTGCAGAGGAGAAGGGTTTGTTCTGCTCTTCCTCTGACCCCACAGAGCTGGTTCTCCAGCGGTGCTGGGCTCTTGGCTTGCCAACTGCTGGGTGGGAAGCAGCACAAGCAGACCCTGGGCATGGTTTCCAGTTGTACCCACCCCTCAGTGGGTAAGAACATTAACACCTACCATCTGGTTTGAGCTGTGCCACAACTCTGTGCCCTGGACGCCTGTAGAAGGGACATCCTCTTGCCAAGGGAAAATGAGGTTTGGAGTGCAATCTCTGCTGCAGCATCGTTGCACTTCGCTGTAGGCCCTGGAGAGGAACACAGAGAATGGCCTTGGCGTATCTCCAGGAGGAGAGGATGTTGTGGTTTTGGAGGATAGTTTTCCACAGATGCACGCAAATGTGAAAAAAGCATTGGGACGTTTTATTTTTCCTCTCTCTGCAACCTTCATCCTGGGAAAGAGGATTTCTAGTGAAGCCGTTAAGCCTCCCGTAAATGAGGTCATCTGGTAGATTGGCTGTGTAACACCAAAATACTGCAGGGCAGGTAGATGTCTGCTTTGAAACACAAAGCCACGGAGAGCCTGGGTGAGTCCCAGAGCTGCCTCCCACGCCCCAGCAGCGTTGGCAAGCAGGGACAGGTTCCCAGGACAGCAGAGCCCTGGCCTGGAGGCATAGACCGAAACACCAGGAAACCTGGCTGTTCACAGGCCAGCTCCTGGGGGAGGGCTGATGTTCCACAAGCCCTAATGGGTCCTCATCTCACTGTTTCCTTCTCCTCTCATCCTAGTTCCTCTCCCAGCTGCTGGGGTTCCTGATCAGCGTGGTCAGCTCCATCTTCTGTGGCCACCTGGGGAAAGCTGAGCTGGATGCCGTGTCACTGGCTGTGTCCGTACGTATCACTCCAGTTCCCCTCGGATTTAAAACACACAAATTAGGTATTGCAAAAAAAAAAAAAAAAAAAAAAAAAAGAAGAAAAAACCTCAAACCTGTAGGAACGTATGTGTGAGGGCCCTGTGCATCAGCACAGCCTGATGCAACACAGACATCACACCCACCAAAATATTCTTCCTTTTGCCCTGAGCACAGGCAGGAGAGGGGAGCTGAGCAGGCAGTGCTTGTGCCAGTGCAAGGCCAGCACCTGGGCTGGGAGCAGCACTGGTCCTTTAGATACTCACCCCTTCCTAGAGGATCCTTTTCCCCAGCAGAGGGGAGAAGAGTCTATTTAGTTAACAAGATTTGTTATTCTGAGAAATAGAGAAGGGCTGGAAACTTCCCAAAAACTTGTAGCAGAACTGTCTACCCACCCAGCTGGGAGGGACTCAGTGCTCTGGGCCAGAATCCCTGTCTCTCCTCCAGGTTATCAACGTGACAGGCATCTCCATCGGGTCTGGTTTAGCCTCAGCATGTGACACCCTGATGACCCAGGTCAGTGGCAGCTCCCCCTTTCCTGTGCCTGATGGGGTTTACCTGGTGCTGTCTCGCCTCCTGTGCAGTGTGATCTGGGCACAAAGAGCAGGGGGGTGGCAGCTTCCAGACAGAACAGGGTTACAGACACCCTGGCTGGAGCCTGCTCCCTCCTTGGAGCTCCCCCAGGGAGCCCTGGGTCCCTTTGGGTAGCAAAGGGATGTGCAATCCAGCTGAAGGCCAGTGACACCCAACCAGCCTGGCATTCACCACTGCAGGATGTGGGAAATGCATTTAATCAGCCTGTTGTTGCCCTAAGAGTTTGCCCAGACCCTTTGGCTCCCTGAGACCCCCACCTTGGTCCTCTCTCTCTCCTCGCTCAGACGTATGGCAGCAAGAACCTGAAGCAGGTGGGCACCATCCTGCAGCGGGGCACCCTCATCCTGCTGCTGTGCTGCTTCCCTTGCTGGGCACTCTTCGTCAACACTGAGCAAATCCTCCTGCTCATCCGACAGGACCCCGAGGTCTCCAGGTCAGGGGTGAGATCCAGCCCTTCTGGATCGGGCTTTTTGCTGTGGGTGGGTTGCTCTGCAGTGTTGAAATCAAGCCTCTCTGGTGCTTGAGCACAACGCTGTTTGGCTTGGCTCTTGCTTTGCTGTAATACTAACTGGGGAAACAACTCTCTTTCCAGGTTAACTCAGGTCTACGTGATGATCTTTATTCCAGCACTTCCTGTAAGTCTCTGCTAAAGCTGTTAGAAGCCCTGTGTCCCTTAGTAACATGAAGGAAAGGAGGGAAGGCCTTTGCTGTGTGGCTCACAGGGCAGGTTTAGGGTTTTACAGTGTGTCCCTTGACTTTGTGCCTTAACAGATGTGCACTGGCCAGCAGCTGCTGGACCAGCAAACACGGGGTCTCTGATCTTCCTGTACAAAGGCTTTTGCTGTGGCCACACAAGTGGTGGTGGACACTGGAACCAGGGGCTCCAGGCTCACTCTTAGCTCCAAAATGAAGGCTGGAGCTTGCTGTTCACACACTCACAGCTGCTGGGCTCCAGCTGGTTACTCCGACTTCTCTAAGGCAGGGAACAGTATCCCTGTGGAATAAGGGTCTGTAGGTTTATCCTTTCTTCTAAGCTTTCCAAGCTTTCTCAGGCTGATGGGGAAGCATAGGAGATTTCCCATCTGGAGACTGATCTCTCTTCCCAGTGGGAATGGGAGGTGTCTTCTGTTACTCTTTTGGGTGCAGTGCTGGCAGGTGCCACACTTCAGACAGAGCACAGGAACGGGGTGTCGGGAAGGTGCTGGCTGGGGCACCCCAAGAAGGTGGTGGGGGGACTGGTCTGTCAGTGTTCGAGGGTTGTTGAACCACGGTCTGATGATGAACTGAATCCTGACTCTTGCAGGCGGCGTTTCTGTACCAGCTGCTGACAAGATATTTACTAAGTCAGGTATTGTATAACCAGCCAGTTCTGGGCTGTACATTAAAGGTATTCCCAGGAACACGGATAAAGTTGGGGATCTGAGTTCATCCTGTTCTTGGGAGAGCTGGGCTGAGCAATGTGTGATGTATAGCCCCCCAGCTGGCCCTGGGAGAGCTCATAGGAACCACCCTTAGCTGGCTCCATTTCCTTATGGCTACTTCCCAACTCTGTTTTATGGGTTGCACCATCTCCTAAGCCCTGCATGACACCTTCTGCGTGTCACCTTCTGCATGTCTAACACAGCTCAGCCTTACCTGGAACAGGAGCTGCCTTCTTGGCTTTCTCCTTGGGCACTGCTGAAGTTCTCCCTTGTGTTCACTGGATGGGGCTTGGGCAGCACTGGGGAATCAAACTCCAAAGTCCCTCCTTGGCTTCCAGGCGATCATTCTGCCTCAGGTGTTGACCGGGATTGCAGCCAACATCCTCAACGTGGCCATGAACGCCTTCTTCCTCTATGCACTGAAGCTGGGCATGGTGTAAGTGTGAGCAGGGATGGTCACAGTCTCTCCCTGTGTGCTCAGGGCTGGGGGGGGTGTCCTGAGTGCCCAGTTCTGCCACCCTCTGCCCCCAGACAACCAGCCTGCAAAGATGAGGCTGGAGGGAGCAAGGCTTGTGTGGTACAGGGCTTGAGCAAGACCCACTGGGTCTCTCCTGCTGCAGCTGAGGAGATTGGGAAGGATGTCACTTGTAACTTGCCTATCTCTCTCTGCAGGGGTTCTGCTTGGGCTAACACTGTTTCTCAGTACACCCAGGCCATCCTCCTCTTCCTTTACATGTGGTGGAAGAAGATCCATGTGAAGACCTGGGGAGGTACTGTTATAGTTTAATCCTTCAGAATACCAGTGTCTGACCCTGTTGGCACTGTCACCAGCATCTGACAAAGGGATTGTCATCCCCTCACAGTGGGAAGATGCTCAAGTCATGTCCTCAAGGCCTTTATTGTAGCTCCAAATACATTCTTGTTGAACATCCTGTCTCAGGAATGCAGCATGGCACAGCAGCAATCCTAGGCAGGTGTCCTGTGAGCTGCAGTGATGGTTGTCCTCTGAGAGTGTCCAGAAGAGCATATGGTTCCCCTTTGGGGATGGAGAGGGAGAACGTGTTCATTTTGCTTCACGTCCTCGTTGCAGGTTGGAGCAGGGACTGCCTCCTGGACTGGGGCTCATTCATCTGGCTGGCAGTGCCCAGCATGATCATGATGTGCATTGAGTGGTGGACCTTTGAGATTGGGAGCTTCTTGGCTGGTGAGTCCAAATCCTCTTTTTCCTGTGGTTCAACAGGCTGCCTTACAGCTGTACCTGCTCTGGTGGCTGCTTCTTGACTGTGTCCCCAGAGCTCCTCCTGCCAGCAGCTTCCTCACCTACAGGACCGGGTCTGCAGGACACTGCAGGTGTTCCCATCCCTTCAGTGGGAACCCTGTAGTCGCTGCCTCCTTGTCAGCAAACAAAGGAGGTGATGAATCTTTTGCAGGGCTGCTCAGTGTGGTGGAGCTGGGTGCACAGTCCGTCATCTACGAGCTCGCCTGTGCCGCCTACATGGTAAGGGCTGGGTGTAGGAAACCCCAAACAGCCTGGGAGCAGCCCCCAAACAGTGGCTCTGTGGTCAATCTGAGGTGGGAACAGGGGGCAGTACCAGGCAGGTGATGCCTCTCAGACCTGCCACAGCAGCTGCACATCCAGGTGTGCTGCAGATGGAAAACCCCTTTGCTGCAGCCATGCCAGTTTGTCCCAAATTCCCCTCTGGAGAAGAAAAAAATTGCTGCAGGCTCTGTTGTCACTGCAGGCTCTGCTGCCACTCACCTCCTCTTGTCTCCTGCTGCTCAGGTGCCTCTGGGCATCAGCGTGGCTGCGAGTGTCAGGGTGGGCAATGCCTTGGGATCGGGGGATGTGGTGCAAGCCAAGACCTCCTGCATCACTGCACTGCTGTGCACAGGTGAGCTCAGGTCCTGCAGAGGGGAATGAAGGGCAATTATCAGCAAATAGTTGAGTTCTCACAGGGCTGGGGACCCCCCATAGGAACCCAAACCCCACTTGTTTGGACCCCTCAGGCAAGGCAAGATCCTGACTGCTCTTTTCTGTTACGAGCCTGGTGCAAAAGCTTTGGTAGTTAAAACTGCAATTTAGCATTCTGCCCTCCCCCTCCAGAAGGCAGAGGGAGTATCTGGGGAGAGCTTGAGGAAAACAGACTTGTCCTCTGCTGCAGTATCACTTGGAGGTCAGCCAAGTCCAATCCCCATCACACGAAGCCTTTGAGGTCTGGGCCTGGATCGGGAGCAGGACGTGCTGCCCTTAAACAATGTGACTATTTCTTTTTCTTCTCAGGAGTTATTGCTGTGCTGGTTGCAACTTTACTGGGAAGCCTAAGGGGCGTGGTGGGATACATCTTCACCAATGACAAGTGCGTTAACAGCTTTCTCTCCAGTATCATCACCTTCTTGGAGGGTGTTATTTATATCCCAGAAGCTGCTGACAGATAAGAGTTCATAAACCCCCACCTGGCAAACATGTTCCCAAAGGTTCCTCCCCGTTGCCTGGAAGCACAGAGGTTTCTGACACTGGGGCACTACCCTGGTAGCAGGCTGGGATCAGGGAACTGGGATCAGCCTTTACAGCTGGCTGAGGGAGATATGTGGGAACCTTGGTGCTGCTTGCCCTGATCAGTACATACATCTTCCCAACAGGGAGATCATTAACTTGGTGTCCAAAGTGATGATCATTTTTGGTCCGTTCCACTTGTTTGATGCAACAGCAGTGAGTATTCCAGCATGTGGAGTGATTCCTCCCTGCAGGCTGGGGTGCTGTGGAGGGTGCAAAGCTGCCTGTAGCTCACTCTTGACCTGTTACAGTGATGCAGAGAAACCAACTGATAAGCTGTCAAGGCAGCTGATTGTGGTACCTCGGTGTCCCCTGTGCTTGTAGTTGTCCCTTGGCATCGCTGCAAACAACCCAGTTTTTCCTTCTCTTCTCCCCTGGCAAGGCTCCAGATTTTTACTGTCTTATCAAAGCAGCACAAGTGAGCAGCTGGGTGTTCAGAGATATTGTGTGCTCCCAGCATACTGGCAGTGCTCATAAACTCATTAGGTAGTAATTTTGACCTGTTTCCTCCTGTTGTGTCCCGGGGAGAGGGACCTGGGCAGCACGGGAAGCTCTGTGGGATCCGCTGGCGGTGCCTGTTGGTGGCAGCTGGAGCAACAGGAGCCCACACTGTGTGCTCCAGGACGTGGCTTTGCTCCCTCCTGGCTTTGCAGTTCAGTGCTGTGGGTTCCCCTGTTCCCAGGGCCATGCCAGGCCCCAGGTCTGCTGTGGTGGTACCTGACAGGGATCCCTCTGCCCGCCCTCCTTAGGGGACCTGCGGGGGAGTGCTGCGGGGCACCGGGAAGCAGAAGCTGGGTGCCATCGCCAACGCCGTCGGATATTACACCCTGGGCCTGCCCATCGGCGTCTCACTGATGTTTGCAGCCAAGATGGGGGTCTTGGGTACGTGTGTCCTCCACCTGGCACTGGATGAGCTGCCGTGAGCAAAGGCCCAGCCCTGGAACTCGTGCCGGGATCTTCCTGTGGATCAGTGGGGCTGGATTGCACATTGGTGTGTTTGGGGCAGGTGCTGAGACCCCCCATCAAATGGGTGCTGAGATGTCCCAGTAAATCCAGGCTTGCTCCCAGCTGCCCCAGGAGCTGTTTCCTTTCCCATCGAGACTGGGTTGGACATGGGGCAATACTCTGACCCCACTGAGGTCCCTGGGCTTTGTGGCAGTAGCTGACAAAGGCAAGTTTTTCTCGAGCCCTCCCTGAAGTAACTTCCCATTGCTGCAGGTCTGTGGGTTGGGATGATCATTTGCATCTCTGTGCAAGCCCTTTCCTTCTTGGCTTTTGTCATCCGCATGGATTGGAAGAAAGCTGCAGAGGAGGTGAGATTTGTGCTTCTCTCTGGTAACACTTGAAAGGTGCTGGGTGAGTTCCTGTCCCAGTACAATGCAACAGCCCTCTGGGAGGAGGCAGAAGTGAACTGGGATCTGTTCTTCTGTAGCAGAGGAGCAATTTGGTGCTAAGCATGCTTGTCTTGGGAGACTGGAGAGTTTTCTGGGCTGGGCAGGACACCCTTGCCCTGAGAAGAGCAACTCTTCCCTGTGTTTTTAGGCTCAAGTCCGAACTGGAACAAAAGTACAACTGGAAGATGTGAACTCCAATGGCACAGCTGCTAACAAAACATCTGCTGTGGGTATGTAACCGGGCCTGACACCGAGGTGGGAGCCCAAATTCTCCACCCAACCCCTTCCTTTCCTTCCCAGTCATGGCAGCCATGTCTGTCCTGCAGGCTCAGATGGCTGGAAAGAGCACAGTGCCTGGTGCTGGTCCCAGGTCTGCCCTTAGTGACAGCGTACAAGATACCCTGTCACCGTGCTGGCTGCTTCAAGGAAGAGCCTGGGCTGCCAACCCATGTCTGCCTCACCTGGGGGCAGCTGCCACTTTGCTGGGGCATGTCCCAGTGTCCCAAGCTTTGGGAAAGGACACCCAGGACTGTCACTGGCTCTTGTGTAGCATCAGGCTGGAAGCCCCTGACTTGGCAGCTCAGCTTCCCTGCAGCACTGGCCTCTCTGTCACACAGATTACACCTCTGTTGACACGGACACCGTGGACACCGTGGCCTTGCCTGAAAACATCGTGGTGGGCGAGAGGCAACCTGATCACGAGCTCATCACACAGGAGGAGCCCGTTGTTGTTGTTGTCCCTGCTCCTGGTGCCGTGGCGTGGAGGGCCCTGATCCTCCGCCGTGTGCTGGCTGCTGCTGCTGCTGTGGCTGTCCTGCTGGTGGGCATCCTGGTCCGGCTCCTGACTGGCAATGGCTAGAGCCAGTGACTCTGGGGAGTGTGCACAGAGCAGGAGGGCACGTGGTGATGTCCCAGGAGGATGGTGCGGGGAAGGAATTCCCCCTCGCTTCTTTACAAAAAGTCCCTTTGCTCTGGTTAACTCACAATGTTTTGTCCCACAGTCAGAGTTCTTAGAGGGGGTGAAGATGTGGCACTTGGGAAAAAAAGTGCTTGAGAGCTGGTTCCTCTCCTGCGTTGCACTGGGATGTCACTCATGATAGGCGGGAGCGTATCCCGGGGCTGACCCTGGGAGGAGACAGGGTCCTTTTGCTGCTGTCCTGCCCCCTGAGGGCATTTGTCCATATCATTTGCTAATGGCAGGGGCTCCTGCTGCCCACAGCACATTTCCTGGCCTGTGCCAGCATCTTGCCGTGGCAGAGCCCACTTGCAGCTGCTGTGACAGTGCAGGGCAAGGTGGATTCAGCTGGAAGATGTCTGGCTGCCATTTGGGTGCTGGCTGCTGGCCCCTGGCCCCGCTCCCCCTGTGGCGGGGCAGGCACAGGGCCTAAAGCAACTCTTCTTTGCACTTTTGTAAGGTGGGATTTTGATACAATGAAGTTTTCTGAGTAAATGTTGGGCTGTTTAATGTGGTGTGTGCATGACCCTGGTCATTGGCATGACTGTGCTGTTAAGAGGAAAGACATAGGTCTGGTTTGTGCAGCCTGACAAAGCCTCAGGCTTCTGACCCTGAGGTTTGGGGCTGGCTCTGGGTATAGTGTTATCACTCTGCTCCCCTCGAATACAAAAGCAGGGTTTGTGCTCCTCAATTGCTTTCTGCACCGCTGAGTGCCAGGGAAGAGGGTGGATGTGTTGCACAGCCCTCCAGAACCACCAAAGAACTGCCATATGTCATAATGCAAACTCCCCATCCCTGCCTGCCCTCAGCACTGGGTCCCTCTGGCCCTGTCCCAGGCTCTTACCTGCAGCTGAGTGACTGAGACGTGGCACATGCTGGGCCCTTGGAGGTAAATCCCGTGTAAAGCAGATGAATGGCACCTCCCTGTCACCCTGGCTCAGGGTGCTGGTTACCTGTGGGCTGGGAATGAAAAGATGTGATGTAAACGAGCTTGAAACTGCCATCATCCCCAACACCCAGGGCCTCTGCCCAGCTGTGGGTGGTTGTGGCAGACTCTGCCTTGCTCAGAATCCCGGGAGGTTTGGGATGGGAGGTCTCGCTCTCCCCCATGAGCTACCCCAGCCCACCTCCCGCTCCATGCAGGAGCAGGTCTGAGCTGCAGAGCAGCTCCCTCTGCCTGCCTCCCCCGTGGGCCAAGGACACTATATTTGGCCTGGGGGAGCTGTGCCAGTGAAACCCGACACGGTGGGGCTGTGCCAGGCCGACAGCTGGAGCCAAGGGGGCTGGCTTGTCTTGGTCACTGTGATGAGAGGGGCCGAGACAGGCAGCGGCCCCACCACTGCCGGCAGCAGCTCACCAGAGACCACACACAGATCCAAGAATCCTCCCTCACTGCTGGAAGAGGAAGACAACCCTCCAGCCCACTGGCTGGTGGAGCTGTGGTGAAGCAGGAGAGAGGTACGAGGGCTTGCAGGGCAGATTTGGGATGGCTCAGGCCCTATGCTGGCTCAGGGCAGGCAGTAAGTGCCTTGCCGGGCTCCACTGCACTGCCAGGACCCTCACTGGGCTCCCCAGCTCCATGCCCTGCCCTGACCCACTGCCCACACTTCCCATCAGCAGCAGGGAACGTGTGGTCGGATCATCCAGCCCCGGCTGAAGTTCACCCCACCGTGGTTACACATTGCTCACCCCACCGTGGTTTAACAGAGCGCGGAGGGAGGGGTTGTTCCACTCCCCTGGCAGAGCAGCAGCATGAAGCAGGAGAACCTTCCTGAGGAGAATGGCAGCACGAAGACAGAGAACCTCCCCGAGGAGAACGGTGAGGCAGTGGCCGCTGGCCAGGACAATCTCACACCCGGGAGCTGCGAGAAGAAACGCCACTGGATTCAGCGCCTGGTCCCAGATAACTTCTGGGAGGACGTGAAGAAGCTGCTGGTGCTGGCGGGGCCGCTGGTAAGGACCTGGGAGGAGAGACACCCCCCCCCAGCACAACCACCCCTGCTCACCTCCATCACTAACCTTTGCCTCTCCTCTCCTCTGTGCTTAGATCCTGATCCAGCTGCTGATCTTCCTGATACACCTCGTTAGCTCCATATTCTGTGGCCACCTGGGCAAGGTTGAGCTGGCCTCCGTCACGCTGGCCATCGCTGTAAGCATTCCCAGTGCCAGGCACGATCTCCCCCCTGGCCCGCTGGCGCTGGGATGGGATAAAGGAATGGCAGCAGAAAAGGACAGGAGATTTCAGATTGCAACTCTTCCTTTTAAACCCTCTCCCTACCTGAAAGTCTTAAATGCTCACCTTCACTCTTTGTTTTCTTGACTCCCGTTCCCAGGTTATAAATGTTACTGCCATCTCTGTAGGTTATGGTCTGACTTCAGCATGTGACACCTTGATATCACAGGTGGGTAAGACATGCTGGCACTTGTCTTGGGAACACGGGGATTTCCAGCATCAGCTGATGATGCCCCATGGAGCCCTGGCTGCTCCTGCGAGCTGGGAAAGCTTGTCCCTGGGTAGCAATCCCATAACAGGGAGATCCATGCTCCAAATCCTTCCTGGGTGGTCTTCAGGGTGGTCATGGCTGCTCTGTGCTCTGTGGGGTCTCTATCCCCCAACACCAGCTGACTTTACCACTGCCCTCTTCGCCTTGCAGACCTATGGCAGCAAGAACCTGCTGCGGGTGGGGGTGATCCTGCAGCGTGCCACCATCATCATCCTCCTCTGCTGCTTCCCTTGCTGTGCCATCCTCATCAACATCGAGCAGTTAATGCTTCTCATCCGGCAGGACCCCGAGGTCTCCAGGTGAGGTGGTCCCATGGCCCCTTGTCCCTCCCCAGCATGGTGGGGCTGAGAGGAGGGTGGCCATGGCCCTGCCCCTCCCTAACCCTGCCTCTGTGTGCCCCCAGGTTAACCCAGCACTATGTGATGGCGTTTGTCCCTGCTCTCCCGGTGAGTCCCTGTGGGCACCCTGGATGCCATCCCACTCCTACTGCTCAGCACTGGCTCACCTCATCCACCGATTTCCTTTGCAGGCGGTTTTTCTGTATAACCTGGAGACAAGATACCTGCAGAACCAGGTAGGTCCTGAAGTCCTCACACCCAGGAAGGGTCAGCCCCGGCTCAGTGCTCCCTTCCACCATGAACCCAGGGTTTCCATGCTCACCATTCCCAGCAACGAGGCAGCATTTGTACCCACCACTGCCCAGGTGCCCCAAAACAGCTCTAACCCCGTAGATCACCCCACCCCACCCCACAGCCAGGTGTATCCATCCACCTCCCTTCATACTTCCCCACATTAGGGATTTACCTCCAACACATTCATTTTCCAAGCAGGCAACGTCACTGGAAGTTTACTTTTTGCCTGGGAAAGGCGCTGAGCCCGGGGGCTGGTGGGGACCTTCACACCTCCCTCCCGGAGCCTTTGTGAAGACACCGTAGCCCTGTCCCCTCTTCTTTGCAGATGATCATGTGGCCGCTGGTGCTGAGTGGGGTCATTGGCAACATTGTCAATGTGGCTGCAAACTGCATCTTCCTCTACGTGTTCCACTTCGGCATCACGTGAGTTGCACCTGTGTCCCATGGAGGGGACAATGTGGCACCTGGCAGTGGCAAGAGAACACCGAGCATCTGCTGCTCAGAGGGGCATGGACGTCATGTCCCAGCACCCTGAGGCCAGGGAGGCGTAAGCAGGATGGAGACAGACCTTTCTCACTTCCTCTGCAGGGGCTCTGCCTGGTCCAACACCGTTGCTCAGTACTCGCAAGCCATTTTCTTGTTCCTGTACATCATAGGCAGGAAACTCCACGTGAAGACCTGGGGAGGTAAGGGCATCCCCCCCGTTCCCTCTGGTTCATGCTTTACCCAGGTGTCCATAAAACTTCCACCACTTCTATCAAGCATTCCTGATGGAAGACAAACTCTGTTTGTCCCGATGGTGAAATATTAACCCCAGCCCCACATGCCCCGGGTACCACAGAGCTGCTTCGGTGGCAGCACGTCATGCACGAGCGCTGGCAGGGTCCGTGCCGGGCACTAAACATTAATTCTGGAGAAATGAAACTTCCTGCTGAGGCTTTCAAGGGTTCAGCCCCAAAGCCGGATGAGCACAGACATAAGCACGAGGTTGCCCTTAGACACTCTGCTCTGGGAGGGATGGGCTGAGGGTTGTGCTGCCCTGTGGCCCACAGGACAACATCGGAGAGCACGTAGGTGGAGCTCTGCTGCTAGAGGTCCTGTGGAGCTGAGGAGCATTGCCCTGGTGGCTGTGAACAGGAATGGCACCTCTAGCTGCCTCAGGTGCTCTCCAGGGTGTAACACATGTCCAGTCTGGTCATCCATCAGGTGATGTTTCTCCTCTCTGCAGGCTGGTCCAGTGAGTGCCTGCTGGAGTGGGACAGCTTCACCTCCCTGGCCATCCCCAGCATGCTCATGATGTGCATTGAGTGGTGGACCTACGAAATCGGGAGCTTCTTGATAGGTCAGTAGAGAGAGGAGCTGCCAGGAGATGACCCAGAGCAGCATCTGCAGGGGCTGAGAGCAGCTCTCCCCTGGGCACCCACAGCCAGCACTGACCCCCTTCCTCTCCCCCAGGCCTGCTGAGCGTTGTCGAACTCTCCGCCCAGTCCATCATCTATGAGGTGTCTGTCGTTGCTTTCATGGTAAGGACTGGGGTTATTATTACGGATCAGGGCTCCATAGGGACCATCCTGAGACAGGCACCCAGCAAAAATCAGCTCCAGCAAACCTCCATCTTCCCCCTCTGCACTTAAGCCTCTCCCTGCACCTGCCTATCCCTCCTACAGAGATGCCTCAAATCAAATCCTGAACTCCATCCCCCTCTCTGCTGGGTCGTTACTCCACTGTCACTGTGACAACCCAGTTACCCAGACACACACACGAGCCTCAGCCCTGTGGTTGCAGATCCCCCTGGGGCTCGGCACAGCTGCCAGTGTGCAGGTGGGGAATGCTCTGGGTGCTGGAGACTTCGAGACGGCCAAGAGATCCTCCACCACCAGCCTGCTCTGCACAGGTTGGTCCATGACACGCTGGGAAGCCTCTGCCTCTGGGCTCCTTCCAGGCAGAGCAGGGGCAGGGAGCATTTGCCACTTCTCCCACTGCTCTCTCCCTTCAGCAGTTCTGCATCATGGCCAGGCTGGGCTCAGCACTTTGCTCTGTTTCCAGGGGCATTCTGCATAGCCGTGGGGATCATTTTAGCCTCCACGAAGAACGTGCTGGGATACATCTTCACCAAGGACAAGTGAGTGCCCCCAGCTCCTGGCCTCGGCGCACAGAGGTCAGTTCCCAAAAGTGATCATTGCCTTGTCTCTGTCCCCAGGGAGATCGCTGACTTGGTGGCATGGGTCATGCCTGTCTACGTTGTCTTCCACTTGTTTGAAGCCACGACTGTAAGTCTCAGGGAATACTGCTGTTTTCCATAGGGCACCTCGGTGCTGAGCAGTAGCATCATGGGTCGGTGGGCCGAGGGTCCCTCAGGCTGCAGGTGAGCACTGGTGCCCACACCAGGACCCTGCAGGGATCCCAGGATCATCCCTTAGAAAATACGGAGTGTATAAAGAGATGGTGACCCACAGGACTGGCCAGGGACACAGAAATAAGGGGCAGAGGCGGGGAGCTGGTTCATCTGCAGGAAGCAGCACAGCCCTGAATTCAGCCGAGTTGGCAGTCCCTGCCCCAGCCCCTCTCCCTCTCCCTGCAGGGTGCCTGTGCGGGGGTGCTCAGAGGCATTGGGAAGCAGAAGTTTGGAGCCATCCTCAACGCCGTGTGCTACTATGGTGTGGGCCTACCCCTGGCAGCTGTGCTGCTCTTCGTGGCCAAGATCGGCGTCATAGGTACTGACCCCCAGGCACCCAGCTCTGCACGCCCCCAAATCCCCCACGGGTACATGCAGCTCCCCCCAGCTCCACTGATGGCTCACCATGACCCTGCCTCGGATCTGCCCTCCCTCGGATCTGTCTGGGGACAGGGCACGCTGGGCTGGGCTGGGCTGGCCCGGCCCCTACAACTGCTGAGAGCTTTTACTCGTACTGGGAAGAAGTAACTGCTGCCAGGTGTGCCAGGCAGCCCTGCAGCAGGCACCCATGACCGCCCCATCCCTGTGTCCCTGCTGACCTTAGTGCCATCCCTGTCCTCGACCTGCTGTCCCAAGATGCTGTCTCCATTGGGTTTACCCCAGCTGACACTGGCGTGCCCTCTGCAGGCCTGTGGCTCAGCATGCTCGCCTGTGTCTTCATCCTCTGCACCTGCTTCATCATCTACATCTCCCGCATGGACTGGAAGAAAGCAGCTGAGAAGGTAATCCAGGCACTACCAGCACTGTGCCCTGCCAGCAGGAAGGTCCTCAGTGCCTTGGCTGTGATGGCACTGGGGTGAGACAGCAGCACGGGCTCAATCTCATGGCCTGCGCTGTCCTCCAGTGCCCCGAGCTAAACCCAGTGCTCCCATGACTCACATCCCAGTGTTCAGCTCCCTCCTGCACATGCACTCAGTGGCCTCAAGGTCTCCCTCTGTGCCTGCTGCCACCGCCTGGTGCCACCCTTGGCTGGGGGACATGAAGCACAGAGCACTCAGCCCTTCAGCCCTGAGCATCACCTTGTGCCCCAACAGCTCTGGGGTCTCCCTGGACCTGAACCCCATAAGTGGCAGCACACTGCCTTTGCTCAGTGGGGATTCCCCACACCACGTGTCGCTGCCTAAACCCAGCACGTTCCCTCCCCAGGCTCAGCGCCGTGCAGGAGTGACCCAGCCACCACCTGAGGAGCCAAACCTGGGCCCTGAACCCTCCTGCAAGGAGCTTCCCCCTGATGTGGGATCAGCCCCCCAGCCCCACACTTACCTCCCTGCCAGAGCGGTGTTGGGGAGTGTTGGTATGACCAGGAGCTGGGCATGGTGGGATGGGGGAGCTGGGCATTGCGTGCATTGAAGGGTTTGGGTCCAGGAAGTGTCCCCAGGGATTCACATAAGTCAGGAACAAGCCCACAAAAGGGGGTGCAGTGCAGTGCTGGTGATGCCCTCAGTTACTGGGAGAACAGTAATTACAAGTGCGGGCTGGGGAGGGTGCAGGAGGTGGAGGGCCAACCTCCGAGCACCCTGGGCAGTTCTCACCTTGCAGACACCAGGTCCTACTGAAGCTCTGTTGAGAGCTGGAGATCTCCACACTCTGGGTTGTTTGTAACGTGCTTTCAGACCTCTGACAAAACCCTCCCAAGAAACCCCTCAGTGTCCCCAAAGCCCCTAGAGACGCTGTCCCGTTCTCCTTGCAGCGGGAGTGGATGTGCAGACCGACGTCGTGCTCACGGGCATCACCAGGAGGGAGGGCTCGACGTACCAGCTGGAGCTCCAGGAAGCCACTTCTACCATCTCCTCTCGGGCCACCCCTGTGGTCACCAAGGGGCTGATCATCCGGCGTGGGCTGGCAGTGGCTGCAGCCATCGCTGTGCTTGCGCTTGGCATCGCCGTAAAACTGATGACCAGCAAACACTGACTCACAGCAGGGACTTTGGGGACTTGTTTTTGTGGTGAAAGCCCCTCCTGATGGACAGATGTTAAAAGCACAGACCAGCCAGCAAGAAAATTCAGCACTGGCCTGTCCCACAGGAGTCAAAGGGCCACCGACAGCGTTCGGCAGCGACTGCTCAGACATTGCTTGGGAACGGGCCCTGAGGCTGCTCCAACACCCAAAATGCTGCTCTAGGCTGCCTGACACACTGAGCGTGTGGGTGACCCCCTCCAGCCCATGCTCAGAGCTAACCAGAGCTGAGCACAGCCCAGCTCACACGGCTGCTCTGTGACAAATGCCCAATAAAGAATAAATCCAGCTGGAGTCAGGCTGGCTCCTTTGGGTGGAGGCTGAGGGGGGGCTCGGTCGGAGCAGGGAACATTCGATGCTGGGGGCTGCACACGTGGGTCTTGCCCTGCCCCAGGTGGCCTTCACAGTAAAACAAAGGTTTTATTCAGCCAGGGTCAAGATCAGCTCTCAGTTACAAGTTTGGAGGTAAAAGACTACCCAAAAACCAATAAAAACCTGAAAATGAGTTACAGATGAGGTGGCTGGCTGCTCTGCCACTCTGGCCAAGGACATCCCTGACCTGGCACCCTGGTTGCAGCAAAGCCCCTGTCTTTGCCCCAGCAGCCCCAAAAGCAGTGCAGCAGCAGTGCAGTTGTGGTCCCTGACACTCCCTGAGTCCTTGGGACAGTGTGGCTGCAGCTCAGAGAGCCTTTGCTGTCACTCAGGTGGCCTTTGCACACCTTACATGGCTATGGGTGATTTCCCTGCAACCCACTCGGTCATGAGTCCCATAAAGGATGGGATGCTGCAGGTTCTTCCAGGCTCCTTCCCTCTGCTCTGGGGACAAGCAGCCTGGACTGTCCCCTGCAGTGAGACCCACAATTTGCTAGGCTTATTGCTGTAATGAGCCAGCTTCCTATGGGAATCAGGCAGGCATTAAGTAGATAACAGGCTCAGTAACAACTGGCTTTGTTTAGGTACCCTTGTGACAAACACTCCCCCATTCCCAAGAGTTTCTAGATAAGCTCCTGTTTACAAAGCAGGGTGGATGCTGTTTCCTTCCATCTGGCACTCACTGCTCAGGCATGACACATGGCCTAGGTCTTGATAAATTCCTGCTTCAGCAGGAGTTGGAGCCTTCAGCTTGGACTGTCTCTGCTCTAGGTATTTTTTCTTGTCTTCTACCTCTTCAGTGTGTTGGCTGCCTTGGAAGAAATGAAACTGCAGCAGAGAAAAATTCAGCACTAGGACCGCAGGGAGCAAGTGGTGGGTTCCGGGGCTGGAAAGCTGCTGACTGCCCATCACCCCTCTCGTCAGGGGGAGAATATCTGGAAAGGCACAAAAACAGGGATGAGTCCCCCAGGGAAGGAACAGAGCTCGAGGAAATGTGGGCGTGGAGGCTGAGGGCAGATGGGGCTCAGGGGCAGAGCTGGGAGCACACACTCACACGGACAGCAGAGACCCGAGGCTCACCTTTGCCATCACTGCTTTCACAGCCCCCAGCAGGGCCGAGAGGAACTGTCCCACTCGGCAGTCGCTACAATGCTTCAGGAGGACGAACTTGGCCACATCCATCCTCTCCTGGCTGACAGGTGGGTACCGCATTTTGTTCAGAACGTCCAGCCTCAGGTCCCTGATCAAGCAGGTGCGGCGGTGGGAGAAGGTCTCGAAGCTGCACCTGCCATGGTAGGCTCCCATCCCGCTGTGACCTGAGGGACACAACCCAGGCAGGTCACACCATGCACAGAGACACCTGCGCTTCTTAAATTCTGTCTGACAGCCCCCAGGACACGGGGGAAGCTTGGTCATGCTGCTTCTCACGCCTGGAGCAGCTGCTCTGCTCCCCCAGGGCACAGAAGCAAAGAGCAGCTTTATTAACTACCCAGAAATAGGTGAGGACCTGAACTGCTGCTGAGACTGGTTGTGTGCACCTACCCTTGAAAGGTTAATGGCACCAGTTCTCAACTCTCCCAGGGCTGCCCTGATTCCCTCAGAATTTTCTCAGGGGTCGGTGACAGGAGGAACTGAATCTATGATTTCAAGGAGTGGGACATGAGGAGGACATTCAGCACCCTGAGACCAGCAACAACCAGGACCTCAGCCCTTTGCCTACAGCCAGGCTGTCCCTGCTACATGAGCCTGCCAGTGACTGTGGAAACTCAGCCACCCACTCTGCCCCAGGCAATTTATCCCACACCCCAGCACAGGAGAACCAGAGCTCACATATGGGCCAGAGGCTTTTCCTCTCTCACTGGGAGGCCTAAAAACCAAAACACTAATGAGCCTTTTTACAAAGAGAAAATAACAGAAAAAAACCCCACAGAAAATAACATCAATGGGGAAAATGCAGCTGAAAGTTCCTGAATTCCCAAAGGGGCACAACAGCACATGGGTCAGAGGATGTTGCTGGGAGACTGAATCCAGGGGCAGGGGGAGGAGCAGGGACTCACCCACACCACCGAAGGGCAGATCCGGAACCACCGTGTGCATGAGGACGTCATTGGCTGTCATGCCACCACTGGAGGTCTCTGATATCACCCGTCTGATCAGCTACCCAGAATGGGAGATGGCACAGAACAAGGGAAAATCAAGATGGGACACAATGCCATGTTCCCAGAGGGTTCAAGCTGGTGCTTCCACCCCATTGCTTTGTGCAGGGCACAGTCTGTGCCTTGTTCCATGGGAGAGGCCAGTTTACATCACCTAAGCACAAGATCTGCCCGGCTGGAACAGCCGTGACCTCAAAAGGCTCCATCTCAGTGGGACAGATCAGAGGCAGAGGTGCATCCACCCAGAGCCTGGGGTGCTTCTCAGCCCTCCCACACAAACCACCTGGGGCTGTTGTGCCAGGACAAAGCCCTGCCCTGAATTCCTGAACTGGCACAACAGAGGCCAGAGCAAGGGCAGGAGACGTGCCAGGAGTCAGCACCCACCCGTGTGGGCAGCCTGCTGAAAGGAGGGGGAGACACGCAAACCCAGAGCCCTTCAGCAGCTCTGGGGAAACTCATGGCCCCTGTGAGCCAAACGCTGCAACTCACATGGAAAAGGAACTGACACAGACCCTGCAGGAAGCTGTGTCTGGCACCAGCCAAGTTCAGGATCCAACTGCACAGAGGCACTGCTACCCAGACCCACCTTCTTGTTGTTGGAGAAGACATACAAGGCAAGGGGCTTCTCCCGACGGTTGATGAACTCAATGGCTTCCTCTATGCTCTTCACGGTCACAATGGGCAGGACGGGTCCAAAGATTTCCTCCTCCATCACCTTGGAATCCGGGGAAACGTCCATCAGGATGGTCGGTGCTGCAGCAAACCGGAGAACAGGAGAACAGTGTGAGCAGGACAGAAGACCTGGTCCATCACAGGACCTCACTGCACTGTCTCTGTGCAACGTAACCCAAGCAAGGCACACACACACAGACCCCAAAGGGCACCCACTGCCACCTCCCCTCCCCAGCAGCAGCCACAAGCACCTATGAAGCAGGAGGCCTCATCACTCTCTCCCCCGTGAGCGATCTTCTGCCCTTCCAGCAAGCCCACGACCCTCTTGAAGTGACGCTTGTTGACGATCCTTTCATAATCCGGAGACGACTTCACGTCCTCCCCATAGAATTCCTGACAAAGGGCACAGCAGAAACAAAGTGCTCAACACACCTGCCAACAGCCACAGCTCCAGGAACTCACACCTGCGCTGCAATGGGGACAACTCCCACAGCACAAGGGACTCCCTCCTTACCAGCAGAGTTGCCTTGATGTTCTCCACCACCTGGCTCTGGATGGATGGGTCACAGAGGATGTAGTCTGGGGCGATGCAGATTTGCCCACAGTTTGTGTACTTCCCCCATGTTATTCGCCTGCAGGGGAAAGAAAGGGAGGTGGTTTCTCCACTGTCAGCCCCTTCCACATCCCACAGCCCAGCTGACAGCACCTGAGCTGGGGACACTGGACCACAGATGGCCCCCTGCCCCACTGCTGAGGGGGTGCAATGGCCTGACCTGCAGGTGACGGCCAGGTCACAATCCTTGTCGATGTAGCAGGGGTTCTTCCCACCCAGCTCCAGGGTGACGGGTGTCAGGTGCTTGGCAGCTGCTGCCATCACAATTTTGCCCACTGCAGTGTTGCCGGTGTAGAGGATGTGATCAAACCTCTGGGTGAGCAGCTCTGTTGTCTCAGGAGCTCCTCCAGTTACCACAGGGTACAGCTCCTGCAAGGCAATGGTGTCAGTGCCACCCCAACCCTGTGCATCACTATGGCACAGAGAAACCTGGGGACCAACACGGGGTCACACTCACCTGGTCCAGGTACTGGGGGAGGAGATCAGCCACCAGCTGAGCCGTGTTCTCGCTCACCTCCGACGGCTTCACCACCACGGCATTGCCTACAGGACAGACACAGCACGGCCTCTGAGCCCTCACCCTCCTCTCCCCCACCACCCACCCACAGCCCCACAAAGGACGGGCCCCACCTGCTGCAATGGCCCCGATCAGAGGATGCATGACCAGGACAAAGGGGTAGTTCCAGGCTCCGATGATCAGCACCACTCCCAGAGGCTCAAAGTTGACAAAGACCTCATCCCTCATTGTCAACAGGTTCTTCTTCAGATGCTGAGGGGCTGCCCAGGACGGCAGCTTCTCCATGGCCAGGGTCAGCTCCCCCAGCACGCTCAGGATCTCAGTGTTGTACACAGTGGGCCCACTCTGCAATAAGGGGGAACTTGGGGAGGATATGGCAAAGGAACCCACCTCCCACACCCACCACGGCAGCCTGGAGAGTCCGAGCAAAGTCATGGTCCATGGTGGGGGACAGACAGAAACCACCAGTCATGGCCAAGGCAGCCCCTGGCCTTCCTGCTTTCCTCAGGGCTGCCCACTGTCTGTGCACAGCAGAAGGGAGAGACTCCCTGCCCGCCCAGACCTTGTGCAGATCCGCATGGAGGGCTGCCAGGATCTCCTTCTCCTTCTCCTTCACCATCCGCTCCAGGGCCTTCAGCTGCTGCATCCTGAACTCCAGCGAGCGGCTCCGGCCCGAGTTGAAGGCGGCTCTCGCCTGCCTCACGACCTTCTCAATCCTCTCCATGGCTGCTCAGGGCTGCGGGGAGACACAGCAACACCCAGCTCACCACAGGGCCATCAAGGGTGCTCAGCCCTGGGAACATTTAATGTGGGGTCACCACCATGAGATGTCCCACCCAGAGCAAGGCTGGGAGATGTTCTCCTCCTTGGAGGGGAGCTCCTGCCCCCAAGGCGACTGCTCAGGGCCCACACTCTCCAAGCCCTGTTCTACTTGGCAGGGTCCAACACACAGCACCTCTCACACCAGTCTGGGGATGGCTGATGGATCCTGCTCTGTGGTTGCTTTCTCCCAGCTTGGGGATACCCTCAAACCCACCAGCCACTCCACCCTCCACTGACAGGGTGCTCCCCAAGGAACCAAAACACTGGGATGACCACGGCCTGGGTGGGCAGCCGGCTGGAAGCAGAGCTTTGTGCCCAGAGCCCGTCTGCACTCGACTTCCCCATAACTCCAAGGCCCTCCCATGTCTTTGCAAAACATGACAAAACAAAAGGTTTCATCCTGCTTCCCAGGAGCAGCACTTTTTAGTCAGGATCTGCCTGCATCCCTGCCCAACCAAATTAGACATCAAGGTTCCCCGACAACAATTAAAATCTGCCCTTCCCAGCCTGCTGCCACAGCCGCCTCACACAGCCCCAGTCCTGTCCAAGAAAGCAAATGACTCGTTAAAAAATGAAGGAAAAGAGAAAGTTACCTTCAGAGAAGCTTCTCTCTCCACCAGTGTCCCGCAGTGAGTGCAAGCTGGCACAAGCCCTGCCCCTGCCATGGCTCGGAGCGATCCCTCCTCCCACGAGCGGGCAGCTGGCCCGGGCCCAGGGCTCTTGCTAGATACAAGATGCCCTTTACCCAGCTCTATCCTCAGCTGTGAACACACAAGCCCTGGATCTTCCCGTCCAGCCGGGGCAGTGACTCAGGGATTGCGAGAGACCGCGTGGCTTTGCCCACATTGGGCACATGAGGCCGGGGAAGCGCCTCTCACATGCCACAGCTGCTGTTGGGAGCCAACACATGCAAGACATGGGATCTGAACAAACCCCAACCAGCAGGCCGTGCCTGCAGATGGGAGGCAATCCAGGGATGGATTTGTGCAGGAGAAGTAGCCCAGCTCCTCCACAGCCCCCCCAGCCCCAGCTCATCCCACACCTTCCCTGGCTCCAGGCACCTCTTCAGTGCCTGCCAGAGCTCTGGGGGACCCTTCCCCATGAGCAGAGAGATCACATGTCCCCCTGAACCAGGGCAGAGACATCTCACAACACATGTGTGACATTTGGCCAAGCCATGGCCACAGCTGGGAGTGGCAGAGGATGAGCAGGATTCCTCAGGAGACTCCAGGGACTTACCACACTCGGTTTATTACTTAAATTCTCGGTGTTTATTTAGTACTTGCAAAATATATCATCAAAAAGGCTTAGCACATGGATTTTCACCAGCCACGAAGAAATCCTACTTATTGCACAGTAAATATAACTTTCTACTCTATATTAATTGCATTTAGTAATCATTTTTTAATTTGCCTTATTTTGACATTAATATTTCTAAGGCTCTTTTACATTCAATTCTTTCAGCATCCTCCTCCCAAGCTCGAACAAGTCCCACATTATGCCCCACTGCAAGATTACAGCAGCCCCAGAAGCTCAAACACGAAGGAGCACACACTCTTTCAATAATTGTTTTCCCTTGGAGCAATCTGACCAGGAACAGCTTTGTACTGGCTTTGGCTGGGGTGGAGTTAACTTTCATCATAGTCACTAAGTTTCTTCATAGTAGGATGGTGCTGTTTTGGATTTGTGACATTGGCAATGATGGCATTTGTCTTCCCAAGTCACCATCCTGCTTTCCCCAGGATGGCTGAACACCTGCCTGACAAGGGGAATTAATGAACAGATTCCTCAATTTGCTTTAATTTGCCTGCATTCCCAGCTTTCGCTTCACCTACTAAACTATCTTTCTCTCAAGCTACAAGTTTTCTCACTTTCACTCCTCTGATTCTCTTTCCCATCCCACTGGGAATAAGGGAGCAGCTGCACAGAGCTGAGCTAACCCACAAGGTATTTTGTCATTCCCACTTCTCTAAACAGGCCTGAAAGTTCTTTTGCACGAGTGTAAGATGCTCATCAGCACAATACAGGCAGTGCAGGTACCACCTTTGTAATTTTCTAACAGTTAAATAATTGTTACAGCCATATGGTGAAACCCAGAGCCCCAGCCTGCATTCCCTGACCAGCTGTGGATGATTCCAATTTGCAGAAATCCATGAATATTTCACCTCAAATGTCAAGGGGAACCTCACTGGGTTCATTCACAACCATCACTCTTGGTCAAATGCATCAGCCAGCATGGCCTGTCTCAGACTTGTCACCAAGAGGGAGGGTGTTCAGAGCACAACAGGAGACAGCCCATCCCAAAAACTGTCAGCCCAAGGATTGCTGAAACTGAAGCTCCTGTTGGTCACTGAAGGAAGGTAAGTGGTTTGGTGTGCCCCTCAAGCAGCACTCTGCATGGCATGGGGTGGAGATAGGGACTGGAGTTTCTTGCTCTGCAGTCCTCCTTCGGAGAGCTTGTCCCCTCTGGTCCCTCTGTTCCAGCATGGCTTTTTAGCAAACAGGAGTCTGAGCCTTCTTGTTGTTAGTGCCTCTCTAAGGCTACTCTGTGTGCTCGACAGCTCACTGAAATCACCCAGAACAAAAGAAAATAATGACTTCCCAGCTTAAGGAAACAGACACAAAGCAAGCACCCAGAGTACGGCTGGCACACGGGGCCTTCTCCTCTTCATCAGTAAACCACCTGTGAGAGCAAAACAACACCAAGGTCCTGTGAAGGATTTGTGAGACAAAACCAATTCCCTTTCTAGAACAGCCTGAAGCAAAGCCTCTTCACTCGGTGACTCCCCCAGGGCGCAGCTCGCCTGCCTCCTGCCCCTCAGCATGCACTGCACGGTTATCTCGGATGCCGGACGAGCTCCATGCACTGCCAGAGAAAGCGTCGTGCTCTGGCTCTTGGGGAGCTTTCTCCAATCCCCACGTTCACCACTCTGCAAAGCTCTCCCCGATCTCAAACTAGGTCTACACACAGGAGAAGAAAAAGGCTCCTACCTCACTGTGACAGCCACAGCAGTGCTCTGAAACCTGCTCCTCCTTACCACCCGCTGGGCCAGCCCAGCCTCTGCACAGCCAGCACAATCAAGAGGGCTTTTCTCTTCAGCACAGACTGGTGGTTCTGAGAAACCCAAATGATTTCAAGATGCCGTGAGTTTCCCCCCTCATTCACCTAAACAGGGCCTGCCCCCCTGGCTGGTGCCTCAAAGCCTGAGCCAATTCTTTGGCTTTTGCACCTCCTCCTGGAATATGTGGGCAGGTTATTTTCCTGGCTTGTTGGGCTTCTGCACCTCTCCTCACAGCAGTAACAACACAGACTGAAGGGCAGAGTCCTGATCCATCCTGCCACCTCCTGTCCCCTTGGGCTGCTCCCTTAAGCTCACTAAACCCCACGGATGCACAGCTGAGCCTTGTGAGGAGCAGCCAGTGAAGGCACTGCAGTACTTGGTTTGTCAGACACAGAAAAGAACCAACAGTGATCTCGCTTGGGAGATTTAGATCTTGCTCCTCCACCTCAGGAGGCATCTTGAGGCCTCCAGCCAGCACCAGCAGGCCTCTGCCTCCTGCAGAGAGGGGAGGACATCCCACCCTTCCGCACTACCCAGCTGGAAACAAGGGAGGAAATGGGAATAATTGAACTGAGGTCAGACAGGGGCTGAAATTGGACAAGGATGAAGAGGTTGTAGACCCAGGCTTTGGGACACAGCTTCCTTTCCCAGGGTGCCATGGCACAAACTGCAGCTGTCAGGGCTGTGGAGCAGCTCGAATACTGCTGAAGGAAACTCTGGAGTTCAAACCACTCCTAACCGGTCCAGAACTACCAACCTCTGCCTCTGGAGGGAGCATCCCACGGGTGTCACCTACCAGAGCAGTGCAACAAGTAGTACAGCAGCCCAGGAGATCTCTCTGGGGACATTCCTATTCTACAGACCACTGGTAAGAGTGAGAAGCAGATCTTGGTAATTTGAGGTGGGACAGAAAAAAAAAAGTCTCAAGAGAGAAAAGGAGGCCAGGCTCTAAGGAAGGGCTGCAGTTTGCAAAGATTGAACTTGCAGAAGATGAGGTGAATTGCACATGCACCCACTTAGACCCAAAGAGACCCAAAACTCACCTTCATCATCACCGCTGCCACCACCCCCAGCAGGGCCAGGAGGGCCAGTCCAATTCGGCCCCTGTTAAACCGCTTCAGGAGGATGAACTTGGTCCAATCCACCTTCTTCTGGCTGACAGGTGGGTACCGCATTTTGTTGGTGCCCTCCATCTTCAGGTCCTTGATCAAGCAGGCGCGGCGGTGGGAGAAGGTCTCGAAGCTGTGCTTGCCGTGGTAGGCGCCCATCCCGCTGTGACCTGAGGGACACGAGCCAGGCAGGTCACCCCGCAGGCACAGCCTGGTCAAACCTTTGGCCACTTGAGGACAACTGACCCTTCCTCCCCGCAGCACTTCTCAGTCTCTAAGATGTCCATCTGTGCTCCACCCTGCTCCTTCCCCACCTCGTTTTCACTACGCACTCTCCAGTATTTTGTAGCGGTCCCTGTGCCTCTGAGCTGTCTCCAGCTCTTCTCTGGATTTAGCTCCCTCTCAAAGCACCGTGCCAGGGCTCTGGGATCCGACTGGTGCTGTGTGAGATGGTTTCCTGAGGAGCTTTGCAGGGTACACCTCCGTGTTCCCATTCCAGGTCAGCGTGTGCTGTTCACACTGGTTCACTGCCTGTAACCCCCAAAACCTTCTTTTGCAAAGCTTCCATGGACTGATCCATAACCTGTTCCAATTCTCCCCAAGCTAAAGTCCTACCCCTTCCACCTGCTAATCACTGCTAATCCCTCCGATTGCAGCTCATGTTTTTAATGTACCTTTCACATCAGTCTGCACTAAATGCTTTAATCTTTCCAAAAATACACCTAAAGGTTTTTCCCCTTTCTGGCTCCTGCCCTAATGCACTCCCAGAATTTATTATTATTATCAAGATCTGATGCACAGAGACCCTTGGGCTGCAACAGGCACAGGGGTACCATGGATTGCTCCCTGGGTCACACAGTGTGGCAAGTCCCAATGCTTAAGAAGCTGCAGTAACTTACCAACACCACCAAAGGGCAAGGTTGAGAGGAAGAAATGCATAATGACATCATTTCCAGTCACACCCCCACTGGAGGTTTCTGAGATGACTCTTTTGATTAACTAGCAAAAGAAAACAAACAAATCATTACAAAGGCCCAGAAGAGATCAGGCCACATAACTGAGGATACTGGGAAGGGAGTCACAAGACAACAGGCCATCATGTTCATTTTCTCTGGCACAGCCCAGACCCACCTTCTTGTTGTTGGAGAAGACATACAAGGCAAGGGGCTTCTCCCGACGGTTGATGAACTCAATGGCTTCCTCTACGCTCTTCACGGTCACAATGGGCAGGACGGGTCCAAAGATTTCCTCCTCCATCACCTTGGAATCCGGGGAAACGTCCGTCAGGATGGTCGGTGCTGCAGCAAACCGGAGAACAGGAGAACAGTGTGAGCAGGACAGAAGACCTGGTCCATCACAGGACCTCACTGCACTGTCTCTGTGCAACGTAACCCAAGCAAGGCACACACACACAGACCCCAAAGGGCACCCACTGCCACCTCCCCTCCCCAGCAGCAGCCACAAGCACCTATGAAGCAGGAGGCCTCATCACTCTCTCCCCCGTGAGCGATCTTCTGCCCTTCCAGCAAGCCCACGACCCTCTTGAAGTGACGCTTGTTGACGATCCTTTCATAATCCGGAGACGACTTCACGTCCTCCCCATAGAATTCCTGACAAAGGGCACAGCAGAAACAAAGTGCTCAACACACCTGCCAACAGCCACAGCTCCAGGAACTCACACCTGCGCTGCAATGGGGACAACTCCCACAGCACAAGGGACTCCCTCCTTACCAGCAGAGTTGCCTTGATGTTCTCCACCACCTGGCTCTGGATGGATGGGTCACAGAGGATGTAGTCTGGGGCGATGCAGGTTTGCCCACAGTTCATGTACTTCCCCCATGTTATTCGCCTGCAGGGGAAAGAAAGGGAGGTGGTTTCTCCACTGTCAGCCCCTTCCACATCCCACAGCCCAGCTGACAGCACCTGAGCTGGGGACACTGGACCACAGATGGCCCCCTGCCCCACTGCTGAGGGGGTGCAATGGCCTGACCTGCAGGCGACGGCCAGATCACAATCCTTGTCGATGTAGCAGGGGCTCTTCCCACCCAGCTCCAGGGTGACGGGTGTCAGGTGCTTGGCAGCTGCTGCCATCACAATTTTGCCCACTGCAGTGTTGCCAGTGTAGAGGATGTGGTCAAACCTCTGGGTGAGCAGCTCTGTTGTCTCAGGAACTCCTCCAGTGACCACGGGGTAGAGCTCCTGTGGGGCAAACCAGAGCCTTACAGTTACTTTGATTTAAAGCACGCATATCAAGGCAGCAACTCTGCACGTGGCAGAATGTAGGATAATTTGTGAGATACTTCAGGATCTGGACAAAAGACAGCAATAACAGAGGCATGCTCTGCTCCTTCCCCTGAAATGAAGTTTCACCTCCCACTTTGTGTCACAGAGACTTAATGAAATGGAGGCTGAAGCCAGGGCTGAGTCAGGCTCCTGCACAGTAAGACATAGGGCACAAAGGACTGTCGGGCTCTCCCACGGGCTGTCTCCTTCCTCTGCTCTTACCTCCCACCTAGGGAATGCACTAACTCTCTGGAGGAAACTGCCTGTGCTGTCAGAGCAACACTATCTCAGTGACAGAGTGCAGTGGACGTCAGAACAGTCAGGCAAGTGAAGGAGAAACAACACATTCTGCTACAAGTGTGGATCAGCAGGACACGATAACCCTGGATGTACTGCCATGGTGCCCAGTTCTCAGGAAGAGCCAGGCACAGCCAGCATTCAACCAAACCTGTGCTTACCTAGGGGCATCCCTGGCACGGCTCCAAAAGAGCAGCTACAGCAGGGGAAAATATGCACACACCTCTGCACATGGTCACGAGTGCCAAAAAAACTACCAGGCTGCAGCAGCATTATGTAATGTGAGCATACCAGGTTACGCAAAGATGGGAAGAATATGTCAACACACCCTTGTACTCTTAAGAGTAATACAATCCTTCCTGTGCCTCCGGCTTAAGCTCCTTTAAAGAGAGCAGGCTACTGATTTGACTTGAACCTGCAGGAGCCCTTTGGAAGCAGGACAGACCAAGACAGTCATGTCAGGCACAGGATCACACTCACCTGGTCCAGGTACTGGGGGAGGAGATCAGCCACCAGCTGAGCCGTGTTCTCGCTCACCTCCGACGGCTTCACCACCACGGCATTGCCTACAGGACAGACACAGCACGGCCTCTGAGCCCTCACCCTCCTCTCCCCCACCACCCACCCACAGCCCCACAAAGGACGGGCCCCACCTGCTGCAATGGCCCCGATCAGAGGATGCATGACCAGGACAAAGGGGTAGTTCCAGGCCCCGATGATCAGCACCACTCCTAGAGGCTCAAAGTTGATGTAGGCCTCGTCCCGCATCGTCATCAGGTTCTTCTTCACAGGCTGAGGGGCTGCCCAGGACGGCAGCTTCTCCATGGTCAGGGCCAGCTCCGCCAGCACGCCCAGGATCTCATGGCTGTACGCGTTGGGCCCGCCCTGCAGCGACAGGGAGCTTGGGGAGGGGGCGGCAAAGGCACCCACCTCCCGCACCCGCAGTGGGGACAAAAGGCAAATTCTGCTGGTTGAAAGTCTCTGACACTGGCAGCGGTGCCCCAAAGGATCCCTGGAGAACACATTCAGTCTGGAGGGTGTAAGACAGAAGCCAAAACTTGACAGCCAGGGCCTGCCTTTGCAGTACTGCCTTAGACTACCTCCTTCATAGAAATGGTGGCAGCAGACCTTGGCAGGGCCATGGGGGACAAGAGCAAAAGCCACCTGGCACAGCAAAGGCAACCCCTGGCCTTTGCCTTTGTCTTACGGGCTGACTTCTGTCCATGCAGGGCTGATGGGAGAAACTCCCTGACCCAGACCTTGTGCAGATCCGCATGGAGGGCTGCCAGGATCTCCTTCTCCTTCTCCTTCACCATCCGCTCCAGGGCCTTCAGCTGCTGTATCCTGAACTCCAGCGAGCGGCTCCGGCCCGAGTTGAAGGCGGCTCTCGCCTGCCTCACGACCTTCTCAATCCTCTCCATGGCTGCTCAGGGCTGCGGGGAGACACAGCAACACCCAGCTCACCGTGGGCCCTCCCTGCCGCACAGAGTCCCTGACACTCCCCACGAGCCCCGGACACGCACCCAACCTCCGCCCCAGCTCCAGTGTGGGGAAAAAGCCGCCGCGTCTCTCTGAAACCTCAAATAATTCCCGAGTTAGAAAAGTTTGACAAGGAGCTCGGGGAGCGAACGTTAGTGGGCGCGCAGGAACGCCACGGGGGAAGAACCGAGGGCTGCTCCAGGCAGGGTCTTTTCCCGCATCCCCGCAACGAGCGATGCCCAGCGAGGGGGCGAAACTCCGGGGGATGTCACCCCTCCGAGGAACCCCCCGGGGACCCCCGAGCGCCAGCGGGGCTGGTGCGACACCCGTGCGACAACCGGTGGCTGTGAGGCCGCGGCTGCCCCGCGCTGCCCCCGCGGCCGGTCCGGTGCCCTCCGGCCCCGGGCAGGACCCTCCGCCCCCGCGGCCCCGCCGCCCACCGGGGTCGCCGCTGCCTCACCCGCTTCCTTTTTCCGTTCACATGACGGAACCGGAACGGGCGAGGCCGCGGGGCCCCCCCCGCTCCCCTCCCCATCCCGCACCGCCCCGGGCGGCTCTGCGCTGCCCGGGGGTCCCGGTGTGCGGGGCGGCCCCGGGGCGGGAGAGGGTCTGCCGAGAGAGCAAAGAGCAGAGCGGGGTGAAGGATGTGGTGCCGCTGGTACCTTGAGGCTCGCACCGTCGGGGGATGCTCCGTCCGTGCTCCCCGCAGCCGTGGGCGGTGTGGGGGCAGCGCCGTCCGCTCCAAAGGATGCCCCAGTCCGCCGTGGGGTGGAAGCGGATCTGGCACGGCCGGGCCGGTTGTGAAACGCTGCGGGGCGTGGAGCCCGGAGAGCACTGCGGGAGGAGGGCAGTCCCCTCCCCTGGGCCTTATCGGAGCAGCTGCACCCAGGACTGCCCCCTGCCCTCCTTCCAGCCCCTGCCCTCCTTCCAGCTTCCTGAGAGGGAGGAAAGCCGGGCAATGTGGTGTTTTGTGGGAGGCGAAGCAAAGCGGCAGAAACAGCCTACCCGGCCAGGAGAGTCGAATTAACCTTGATACAGCACTTGCGTGGGAACCGAGCCAAAAAATATGCAGAGAATGGAGATGAGACAAGGCTGGGTTCTTAAAAATAGACCTGCCACAACTTGTTCTAAGAAGTGCACGGGGATTATTTAAAAATTACTTGCAGGTTGTTACACGCTACCTTTAGTGCCAGGCTATTTATTGCCACGCTACCTCTAAACAGGCCATTTATTGCCAGTGCTCCTCAGCTGGAGCTTTTCCCCACAAAATCCTTGCCCACCACATCTCTGACACACAGGGCTCCTAGAATGGAGCACCCCTTCCCCTGACAACTTTCATCTCCTTTTCCCACATCAACACAGCTCTCAATGACTGTGCTGAACCACAACTCCCCCCAAACACCAGCTGTGGTCAGTTGGCCTCCCTAACACCTCCCAGGCTGTGGCTCAGTGTGAACATTTCACAAGCTGTTGCACAAATCTCAGCAGCAAACACCCAGCTGTGGGGAAGAATGACATGAGCAACTGCCAATACTTGTGTGCAGGAGGCAACACAGGAGAGAAAAACGAGCTGGGCTTGACAGGGTTCTCCCAGGTGATGTATGGAAAGATGGGTTTGCATTGAAGAAATCTGTAGAAGTAGAACATTCTCTGCAGGAGCATTACTTGATGCAAACATGCTCTCCTTGATCCTGTCAGCATCCTTGCAGGGCAGGTCAGAGCTCTGTCCAGGCACCACGATGTCTGGAGGTCCAAGAGAAATCAGATAAGGAGTTAATGCTACTGCAACCAGAGTAAAAGTCTGAGCTCTCAGTGTGATTATTACCTGGGGAAACAGTGCTGCAATGCACCAGCCCAGGATGTCAGCAGGAGCAGGGAGATGGATATTTACCTACATTTTCCACAGTGGCCATTCTCCAGAGCTTGTAAAATTCTCAGCCTTCAGCCTGAGGGTTTTCATGTCACGACAGCGCTTCTTGTGCTTGGCATCACACATGGGAAGCAAACATCCCAGCTCCCAGTTATCCCAGCGGTCAGCAGGCTGGGGCTGTGCCACACTTCCACAGAAATGAGACAGCATCCTGGGAGACGGTCCCTTTTGGTCCTTGTCAGGGACAACTTTCAGCCAGTTACAGACAGGAAACAAAGCTGAGGGTGTTTTACGTGTTGCGAAATACTAGTTGAGTCTCCCTGGAGCAGCTGAGATTTCAGGGAAGTGTGGGATCTGGAGTGATCCAGACAGCACCTGTGAGACACGTGGTCTGCAGTGTGCTCCCCACGCCTGGGAGCTGGCAGTGTTCTCTATTTTTACTCAGTCACTAAGAAACAACAAAGAGAACTATTTATTGGTAAATAATGGAACTCCACAGGAATCAGAAGGTGAGCAGTGCTGGGGGGGGTTCTAATCCCCAGGGCTGTACTTACAGCAACAAGAGAGGTTTTACTGAGCAGCTGAGCTCGAGACTCCCCTCATTCCTTGAAGCCCTTGCTCCCCTTTCGGAGTCAATTAACTGCAATGAGACAGGCTCCTGCCCTGCCCTGGGGAGCAGCCCTTTGTGCTGGTCCTTGCCCTGCTCCCAAAATCACCCAGCAGAGCCCTGGGGAAGGAGGACTTTGGTTTGGAAGATAAGCTGTGCAGTATTTGGTTTCAAAAGTCCACCAAAAAACACAGCTAATCAATAAATATTTGTTTAGCTTGCACACCACGCTCACAGAACTGTAAGCTTTGAGCTAGGCTGACAATCCTCAATTTCTGCTTAAATGTCTGCCTAGCCTCAATCCCAAGTGTTTTCCAGAAGTCACAGAATCCGCCCAGTGGCACGAGATGGGCAGATACAAAGCGCAAACAGCACTCAAGCGTAAAAGCGGGCACAGAAGATGAACAACAGGGAGAGGTTTTAAGGAACCTGCAAGAATAAATAGAGCTCAGTTCATTTATGGCATCACTTGTTTTGAAAGCTGTGGCTGATCTCAGAGTGGCAAGAAGGAGATACTGTGTCGTACAGAGCCGTGGTCTGTGGGCTGCATTGTAGACATAGCTGGGGCCATGGAAAATGTGAAAAGCGACACAAAGAAACAATGGGAATGATTGGCACAAGGACTGCAACAAGACTCAACAGCCCCACTGGCACTCGGTTTGCTTTCAGGCAGAGAGGAGGGGGGAGCCTGCCGTGCACAAAAGCCTATTGAAAAGGTGTTTGTCCAAAGGAGCAGTGCCAAGGCTTAGTTCCACCGGGCTCCAGCTGACTTAGAGACCTCAGGAGAGGGTTTACCCGGATAGACTTCACTCCTCTGCAGAAAGGAGGAGCTATGGGAGCACTCTGGAAAAAGCCACAGCCAGGGCTATGGCTCAGGTCGGACAGGGAAGTTCAGGATAAAAGGAGATTTCCTTAAAGACTTAAAAGGTGTCCTGGACAGTCAAAAAAAGATAGTAGCAAGCAGAGCTCAGAGCAGACATAAAAGTCAAAGGATTAGAATTTAAATTAAAAAAAAAAAGGAGAGGAAACAGGAAACAAAAAGGAGGTGGGTCACAAGTCAGGTCACGAGCCAGCCTATCTGAATTTCAAAGCTTTGGAAGCAGCAGGATCCAGCTTTCCTTGCTCCAGACGAAAAGCAAGCTTCACTTTTGGGTGCAGCTGAGCACAGCACCACAACAGGGTGAGTCACAAGTTATTGCCTCTGAACTCTGAGATGACACAGCAATACCTGGATGGAGCTGTACAAGCAAGTAGCAAGAACTACGCAGAAGGTAGCAAGTCTCAGGAACAACTCACGCAGCAAAAATGCTTCTTGGAGTAACTTGTAGCGTGTTAGTTGCAAGTCAAATTAACTAGATTTCATTCTCTGCATCAGAGGAAGGGCTGAGAGTTCAACTTGCTTATAAAAGAGCAGCAAATGTCAGAGTCAAAACGTGTTTTAGACTCCCGAGTTGACAATATACACTATGGAGAGAGAGGAACAAGTACAGAACATGGAGCTTGAGGAGATGCTGGAGAGCTGAACTAGAAAAGCACATCAAATATCTCCTTTCAAGTTCTATCTTTCAAAAGCTGGGGGAAAAAAAAAGCATTTGGTAAAAACAAGCACCTGCTGTTTAGCGCGGGGAGCCGGAGACAGAGGACAGCTTCAGGATCTTTGTGGAATGAGTTTATGCAGAAAGACAGGCCATGAACATTGGTCTCCTCCTCCTGAAAACAGCCAGCAAGAATGGCCCTTTTCTTCTCCTCCTGTTTGTGCAGCTGGAGTCTTGCTGGCAAGAAGGGAAGGAGAATGAGCTTGAATCCTGAGAGGAAAAAAAAGAAAACCAACAAAAACCCGTGAGTTCCTGGGAAAAGCAGCCTATCTCCTAGTCTTGTGCACTGAGGCTGTTGCTTTGTTCCTAGATTTGGGTTCAGACATGTCATTAGCATTCCCTGCTCACTCCTTCCTCATCCTCTTTATGTGCCAGCCACAGTAATAAACTGGGAAAATTTTGATAGTACAACTAAGAAATACAACAGCCACATTAGCAGCTACCACAGCACCACTCAGCTGGGGAGAGGGTATCAGCTCTAAGGTGAACAAAGCCCATTTTTGGTAAGCTGTGGATAGAAATTGTAACTTCCTGCCAGCTTTTGCCAATTAGCTCTGTATAGGCTGTTCTGGCAGCCCAGACAGCTCCTCTTTGCTAGAGGCAACAAATAAGCACCTTGTTGAAAGAACATACAGCTGTTACCCAGGATCCTACCCAGCATTTTCGTTTTCAAGCCCAAGTTAAGAAAAAAAAATAATTAAAAAAGAAAGAAGCAGGGTAAATTCTTTTCCTAAAGCCAGGGAAAACAAACTCAGGGACACTCTGTGCCAGAGCTACCCAGAGATAAGGAACTCAAGGATGCTGCCCCATCCTGCCCTGGTGGCAGCTCCAGTTGCTGAGGGGAACATTCAGCAACTGGTTTAACCAGCCAAGTACAGACTGTTCTCCCTGAATTTAACACCGTTGGTTACAGAGACACAGAAACTCAAGTTGTACCATAGAAACACTTCTAGTGTCAGTATTTATTTTTACCTTAATATACATTTATACAGGCCATAATAAAAAGGCTATTACGCAACAGTTCAGTGAGTTATTACCTAGTTCCAAGAATAATGCATGCAATTACAAAGGAGAGGTAGAAACACCGTATTAAAGACCTAAAAATACAAACATTATATAAACAAACACTTTCAAATTAACTGTTGGAATTTCATACAGATAAATAAGGTAAAAAGTACATTACTCTGTCAAAGTAAAGGAAACACATGGTTATCCGAACACTGAAACAATATTTTGATGTGTAAGCCCTGTACAACTTTGTCAAATAGTTCAGACCACTGTGTTTAAGAGGATTAAAATGATTTTGTCCTGGAGAATGGTTTATTCAAGTATTCAAGCAGT